TAAGTGACTGATTGTGAGTTGAATTTGAATGATTTTATCTATCAGTCCAATGAGAGCATGAACCTCAATTACTGTATAACTTTGTATTTTAATAAGTGTATGTGCTGCCCTGGTGGAAATCACCACAGATGCTTGTATGGCCTATCTTAAGAATTCATAAACAAACATCGAGGTTACATCAACCCATGGGCCTTTGGGCTGAGGGAACATAAACAAACATCGAGGGTACATCAACCCATGCCCCCTTTGTGACCAGTGAACAACTTATAGTTCAAGGACCAACATGTACAAGTACTCCCAGTCTGGTAAGTCTGGATGTGTGTTGACATGACAACCACCAAACCTCATGTCGGGCATCTGTAGGCATCTCCTACAGGGATGCATTAGAAAATGTCTGGAGACAAATTTGAAAAAATAACACAAGTCTGAAGTACAAAAAATAATGTATTTCATCATGTTTTTTTAAAGATATTTTTTCAGTACTTGAATATTGATATAAGGAAAATCACACAGGAACTGGAGTACCGTTGTATATCATATCACTCCTACATATATAACAACATATCAGTATATGGACAACCATTGGTGTATGAAATGTTTAAGTAAAATATGAAACTCATATACATACATACTATTATACAACCTCCAAAAGAATCATCCGAACCAATCACGTCGACGACTGGTGTGAGGCAAGGATGTGCCTACTTTATCCTACTGTTGCTTCCTAATATGTATTTTATTAAAGACTTAGTGGGCAAGATGGGTTTTACACATGCAACACCTTGTTCACATGCAGGGAGTTGAAATAAAGGTCGTTCATAATTTATGGCTAGAGGGAGGGAGGGGTGTGGGTGTGTGTGTGTGTGTGTGTGTGTGTGTGTGTTTGTGATGATTTTTATGGAGAAGCATGTACAATGTGAATGACACCCCCCCTAAAATTTATGTACAAAGTAAGTGACCCCCCTCCCCCTTTCCATATATTTAAAGCATAAATTTTAAATATTCTTATGTACAAAATTGCTGACCCTCCTAGAAGCATATGTACAAAATTGCTGACACCCAGTACCTCCCCAGAACAAAATGGATGAAGCCCCCCCCCAAATCACCATTCAAACAAACACACACACACCATAAATTATGAACGGTCCCTAAAGGTTGTTGGTGTAACAAGGTAACACTTCAAACCGCAGCTACCCTGGCATCTTTGAAGTATTTCATAATACCTTCAAAGGTGTAGCAAGGTGCAGCATCTTCTAATATGTCTAAGCGTGACCACAGACCATATAGCATGTAACAGTCTATGGTAAGACAGCAGGAGACTGAAGATCTGAGTTTTTGTCTCTCAACATATTCTTTATCCACTGGACTATGAAGGCCATCTTGTAAATTCCAACCCAGGATTTTCATGACAAGAAGCAAACTGTTTCTAGTCAGCCTTAAAAGTATTCTCATCCATACAAAAATAAATTATGACTAAGATTTGCCAAAAATATTTCGACAACTTTCTGTTGTTTGATACACAAAACTAAACCTGTGGTCACATTCCTGGTTTTGATTGTTAGACTATTTAACGTTTCAATGTAGCAGCTTACTGAGAATGTCATGGTAACAGAACACAATAACTTTGTAAACAATAAACTACATCTCTTCAATCTGAACTAATCTGCTTCTCTCTAAGTTCCACCACATGTCTATCAACTAAAACACATATAAAGACCTTCTTCTAAAGCGACCTTAAAACTTTCCCAAAAGGGATACAAATGAACCTGAGACAATAGTCTGGACCTGAGTACAATGTGACCTTTCCAGTAACTACACATACATTCAAGTGTAGGTGAGGTCTCACTGAGATAAACAAAGCATATTTTGGGGGGTCAAAGGGTACTTCGTCTTCAAACCCTCCACATTTCTTTTGATATGCTAGTGTTTAGCCTCTGAATATGTATATAATTTTGGTAGAAACAAATAAATCCTTATAAATTGAAAATTAGCTACAATGACTTGGGAGATTCTGAACCTGAGGAAAACTAGAATTGCTTCAGTTAGGGCTTAAGCATTGCAGAAAGGGCTGGACAGAAGGGAACAAATGTGGTTCCGGGACTGTGAGATAGACTATTACTTTGGGGTCAGTTTGAGTTTCAAATGTGAACACTTCTGAACAGTGTGCAAAATAGCCACTGGCCCGCTAGCCCGTGGCTAGTAAAAATTCACTCGGGCCAGTAAATCTCCACAGTCGGAGTGAATTTTCATGGGGTTATTTTGTAAATATATCACTCTCTCCCGAAGTTATAAGACACTTTTAAATCATGCAAGATTATTAGCAGCTTAATGATGAAAGCTGTGCCATGCTGACAATGTCATATTCTCATCTATTTTTTGTAATCTTTGCTTAGTTTCTACATTCAAATTTCGGGCTAGTGAATTATTTTGTGGGCTTGTAACTTTCATTCATAGCTAGCCCGACTGGCTAGCAAAATATGGAAACTATTTCGCACACTGATTCTGAATGTTGAATATTCAGTTAACATTTCTATACATTGAATATTTAATGAACATTGAACAATGAACTGACATAAAAGCATTTTCCAACCCGATTGCAGCCCCTGGGTCCCTATCCACAAAGCCTTTGTCATGTTATGACCCGTCGTAACTCTATAGTTTGCCATAGGCTTACAAATACCGTAGCGCTACGAATGCTTTGTGGATTGGGACCAGAATCCATTTCTTTTGGAATGCCAAACACTACATATGTCTAGGAACCAAACGTATGTTTCCCCAATCACACAACAATTTAACAAAAAAATGAGCATGTTGGATCGTTTCTCTAGTCTCTGATCTGACCAACCTATTTGACAAGAACATAACTGGTATAAAATCGATCAATGTTTTGATGCACTGCAACTGTCCATAGTTATAAATGGCAATTCATTGACGACAAAAAGAATATCAAATTAAAAAAAAAGCTAATTGTTCAGAAAGTGATTGTCAACTGGTCATCAATACGGTACACCTCTAAACAACTTGAACTTCTAATCTCATTTTCATAAGGAGTTGCTTGTAACTACAAATTTCATCACTTCTTACATTTCTCACACACTGAACATGGATCTGTTCACTTCTAGAGATCCCCCTCAACAACTTGGATATTTCACAAATTTGCATATAATTCAAGGAAATTTGAACCTGGTGTGATAACTTGACCTCTAGTGTTCTTGACCTAACATGAAGGTCACCAAAAAGTTGAATCAGTCAAAATACTGCCTGTGATCTATGTAACTGATTATATTACCCTGATCAAGTTATTTTGAAGAGAAGCTATTTTGAATGACTTTTAAATTGACCTTGACATCTGGCACAACCATAACAAGTACTGGGTCAATTCTTTAATTTATAAGGTCTGGGGCTGGTGATTCTTACCACCAGCAAGTGGTGTATACAACCTCAACCTCATCATTCACCACAAACATTCCTAAATGACAGTTTGAGATGGCAAAAGACACAAAATAGATATCACACACTCTTAAGTGCCAAAAGACACCTGAAAAATAGTTACAGATAAATGAAACAACACATAAAAATATATTCTCAGAAATGCATCAGTTTGAAACTTGGGTGAGGTATTTTTCTGTAAAAATAACTTTTGTAACTATTCAAACATCAAAATCCACTGGCCTAAGACTCAGGTAAGCATTAATGATTACCCACAATGCCCTGTCTGAAGTATTCCTGAACTGATAATTGTTTATCTGAAACATTGGTACCCTAAAGACTGTTTGTGTGAAACATTGGTACCCTAAAGACTGTTTGTGTGAAACATTGGTTACCTGAAGACTGTTTATCTATAACATTGGTACCCTAAAGACTGTTTGTGTGAAACATTGGTTACCTAAAGACTGTTTATTCATCTATAACATTGGTACCCTAAAGACTGTTTGTGTGAAACATTGGTTACCTGAAGACTGTTCATCTATAACATTGGTACCCTAAAGACTGTTTGTGTGAAACATTGGTTACCTGAAGACTGTTTATCTATAACATTGGTACCCTAAAGACTGTTTGTGTGAAACATTGGTTACCTGAAGACTGTTCATCTATAACATTGGTAATCTCTGGATTAATCAGGTAACCTGCAGATTGTTGATTTGAATACGGATTAACTGAAGATTGTTAATATCTTAAAGGGTCTGTAAACTGAGGCCATTCTGAAAGCATTGTTAAACTAAAGCCATTTATTTTACTTCAAGCCTTGTAGAAGGAGGAGATTCTATGTAAGATTTAAATGCTACATTTATACTGTCTACTGCAAAAGTAGCAGAAATCTAAATTCTATCACGGTGTTGACAATTCCATGATGTACAGAACAGGGCCCTTATTCTAGAAATGTTCATAGCCCTAAGAATTCTTAATTTTGATCGTAGTCAATGTGTTAAGAATGGGCTTAAGAAGTTGGTAGGGCTACGAACGTTTCGAGAATAGCTAGCCTGTTTGTTAAACTGTTCAGATCCCCCCATATATATTATGTTTTCACATAATGATTATCATGTTCAAAAGAGGGAGTGAAGTAACAATATCTGAGATATGACTGCATCACTGTACTTCTATACCTAATAAAAACCGAGACAATATCATGCAATTATATCAAATCCCAATTTTTAAATAGTTTTTTATTTTTTCGATAATGCCCTTCTCTTGCACTGAAATTGGTGGCCTCCTATACGGAAAGTACAACCCCACCCCCTCCCCGAGATCTCTAGCTCTGAAGACTCATCTTAAATCAAAATGAAGTGAAATCGTTTATTTGAACCAGAAAGAGAGGACTGACCTATATATATATTATCTTTTCACATAATGATTCACATACTGAAAAGAGAGAATGAAGTAACTATATTTGAGAAATGACTGCATCACTGTACTTACATAACTAATAAAAACTTGAGACAATATCATGCAATTTTTTCAAATCCCAATTTTTTAATATTTTTTTCTCGATTATTCCCTTCTCTTGCACTGAAATTGGGGGCCTCCTAAAATGAAAATACAAAAATTGCGACATCTCTATCTCTGAAGACTCATCATATAAAATGAAGTGACGTTAAATCATTTATTTGAACCAGGAAGAGAGGACTGACTGTTTTTCTGTGGGTACTGGTTCCTGCTTTGCTGGATTGTTTTTCTTCACTTCAGACAACCAAGTCATGAAGAGTCTGTTCATCTTCTGGCGACTCTCCGGGTTAGTGTTGTTTACAGTGGCCAGTATTCTGTCTGGGCGGATGAACTGGGTGAAGCGTTTCATCTCCAGATAGCTGCTATGTTCGCTGTACGGAATACCTGGACAATATAGTGCCAACTCAGTACTCACTGGTATTACAACATTGCTTTCAAATTCAGGAAGAAAAACGACATCAAGATACCACTTGTTAGAAAGTTTTCTCCCACAATAAAAATCATGAAAAGCAATCAAACATACTTGTCAGTTTTGAACAAGCATAATGGGCAAAACAGTAATATTTGATTTAAATAGGCATTCGTTGAGTATTTTATGCATCAACATTGTAACTACAAACGTCATGTCAGTGATGTTTGGCAGAACTCTCTTTCTGCATCAGTTTAAGCAGGCAATCGAAAGCCAATCACATCAATTGATAGAATATTTCCAGCTTTGTTATTTGAGTAATTCTAAAGTCAAAAACACTAAAACTGAATAAATAACTAATTACTCAAGAAAAAGTTGTGCAAAAACTGAAGTAAGAATCCTCAATGGAGAAATTAATGTATATATATATATTCATCATTTAAGAAAACAAATTAAAATTCAATATGGATAAGAGAAGTCAATTGAAAATCATTTTACTTTAAAAGGTAATGGCCTGGGCTTGTGTTTTGGTCAATCAACCTAGGATATTTCGAAACTGAACACTTGACTGTTTATCCTACACATGCTAGTCATTTGACCAACACTAAAAACACATCTGATGTTTTTGTTTACATGCTTGTGGTCAGCTTACCATATATGGTAATGCCATTCCTGCTGTACTTGGGCTTAATCTGGTCAAGGGAGACAACTCTGTTACTGTGCGACCACCCAGTAGGTTCCAAGGCAAGGATGCTGTTGAACTTGGCCTGATCACTCAGGTAGGCGCTGAGATCCTGCACAAAGAGACATAACCTTAGCATACACTTACATCCTGGGATGTTGATCATTCGATGATGACCTTAGACTGACTTTGCCATTGCCACTCCAAAACATGGGAACCCTGTACTCACATTGGGTTTTAGTTTTCCCATGGGCAGAACATGGACCCTAGCTTCTTTGGGGTCAAGAGTGACCATCTTCTGAAGATGTTGGTCCTCCAGACATTCGATGATGACCTTCTTGTCTCTCTTCACACACACTTTGCTCTGTAAGGCATCCGCTATTGCTGGAAACAGTATGTACAGAAATACAGAGTCCTGGCAAAACAGTGATACACGTTGGCCACAAGATTGAACATGTGAAAATGTCGTTCTCATAGTCATAAATGTGTAGCAACTTTGGCATCCAATAAGTTACCATATCCTGAGTAAAGTATCATGATGTGTATGGATCTGAGAGGGAGGGACACCAAACCTAAGATATTCCTGCACGGAGCACAGAGACCGAGAGAAATGTCATCTGACTCGTCCTGAGAGTTTGTACCTTCATAAACTTGTTCAGAATTACAGCCTCAAATTCTACTGATCTGCCATTTATGGAGTACTATTATAATATTTTCACTTTTCCTCAGCACATTTCAGTTGTCTCAGACTAGCATCATTTGACAACAATTCTGCCATATAACCCCTAAAGAGTTATCTCCCTTACTCCTCTAACCCTTCTGCAGGGTATTTCTGCACACTTAAACACATTTTACTGGAAAAAAACCCATTCAAAATGTCTTCCAAACATTGTTACCCCGACTCCTTCATAGCTTGCCTATTAATCTCACTGGTTCACGCTCCCACATAATGAATGACCAGCCCCTGATAAGAGTTCTCTCCCTTGCATCATATATGCACAATACCCCAGACGACTAGAATTTGCCCATGACCAACGGATTTACAATAGTCTGGACTAGTTAAAGCAGCTACCCACGCACATGTATGCTTGTCATATAAGTGCTATAATTTGAATAATTTGAAATCCTTACCTCACCTTACCAGTAAGCAAACTAATATCTTCACTCACCATGTGACAGTTTACATACACAGGTGTTGGCACTTGATGCAACCACAAGATTAAAATGTACATTTGGCATGTGAAAACCTTATCAATTCTTAAGTGGGCATTAGGTAACTTAGTGGTTAAGCGCTCAATCCTCATGCTGAAGACCTGGGTTCGATTCCCAACATTACTGAGTGAGTGAGTTTAGTTTTACGCTGCACTCAGCAATATTCCAGCTATATGGCGGCGGTCTGTAAATAATCGAGTCTGGACCAGACAATCCAGTGATCAACAGCATAAGCATCAATCTGCGCAATAGGGAACCGATGACGTGTCAACCAAGCCAGCGAGCTTGACCACCCGATCCCGTTAGTCGCCTCTTACGACAAGCATGGGTTACTGAAGGTTCCTTCTAACCTGGACCTTGCTGTAATATTGCTACAAGTGGTGTAAAACACGACTCATGTACTCACTAATTATCAAAAGTTAGCTCCCTCATAATGTGAAATTTACCTGTTCATGTAAAGATTGCCTACCACAGAAAATTGGAAAGAAACATGTTGGCACCTCATAACATCAGGCCACCTAATGTGACCGACTATAGCCTGATGCTGACCTGAAAACACTCTCTCCTTCCCAATGGTGTACGTCCCACACACAATCAGTGTGTTAGGACAAGCCTCAACATGCTTCTTCACGAAAGACACAGCAAACTTGATCACCTCCGACTGAGATGGGAATGTGTAGACAGGATCACAATACCTGCAATAAAATCAAACACTTTAATATGTTTAAAACGACAGTCAACCCTGAAGACAAAACAGCCTTTTGGAAACAGACATTCAAAAACTGACATGACATGATTAGATTTGTTATATAAGGGTACTACAAAGTTGCTCTTACATGTAAGAATACAATCGTATTCAAAACTACTTCTATAATCAAAGTTGCTCTTGCAGGACGTTTGATGCCACAACCCTTCTAAAAGATCTGACGAACCTTGAGGTTGCCTCAGATGAATTTTGTACTCAGCTTAAAGTGTCAATTCTCGCATCAATGATCACAGCAGTACAGCTTCATGAATATGATGGGAAATTTCCAATGGAAAATAATAGAGGCAGTGATTTATAGTGAGTGAGTTTATTTTTACCCCGCACTCAGCAATATTCCAACTATATGGCAGCGATCTGTAAATAATCAGGTCTAGACTAGACAATCCAGTGATCAACAGCATGATCATAGATCTGCACAATTGGGAACCGATGACATGTGTCAACCAAGCCAGCGAGCCTGACCACCCGATCCTGTTATTCGCCTCTTACGACATGCATGGGTTACTGAAGGCTCATCAGTGATTTATAGCTCTAAATGTATGAATAAAGTAAATATATAAAGTTGTAATCTTAATAATTATTTCAAACAGTTAAGATAATAGACTATTCTGTAGGACTACTGCATCTGCCCCATACTGACGTGGTGTCGAGGTACAGCTGGTGGATCTTGGTTCCGACCAAGGGTGGGTACAGCTCCATTGCCGGGTCAGCTCGGAAGTCTCCAGTGTGGAGGTACGTCTGTCCAGACTTGAGACGAAACAAGATGATGACAGCACCCGGACAGCTGTAATAAACACAGGAGGTTGAGTGGTGAGGGAGTGTGACAGTTGGTCTAGGAAGTGTAAGAGTTAGTGGCTTGAATCTGACAGGGTGGTGAGTCGGTTCAAGAGGGGTGGTTGGTTAGTTGTTTAATGCCACCCTCAGCAGTATTTCAGCTGTATGGCGGTTGTCTGTAAATAATTGAGTCTGCACCAGACAATCCAGAGATCAACAGCATGAACATTGATGTACGCAACTGGGATACAATGACATGTGTAAACCAAGTCAGCAAACGGATCCTGTTAGTTACTTCTCACGACAAGAATAGGTTGCTGAAGAACAATTCAAACTTGGATCTTCATGGGTTTCAACAGTGGTGGTGAGTCACGTGACTAGGTGGCAAGTGAGGTGTGGTGAAATTGGGTTTAACGTCGTGCTGGAGAATATTTCGCTCATATGACGATGTGCATGCGTGTATATATGTATGTGCGGCTGCTTGTACTAGCCCAGACTGAAGCTGGTTTTATAGTGCTAGCCCAGTGAGATACCATGCCGCAGTGAATCATGAATACCCCACTCAGACACATTATACTGACTCCGAGCCGACCAGTCCTTGTTGTACCCATTAATGCCGAACGCCAGGCAGGGACCAACAAGTACCAAATTTTAACGTTTCTTGGTATGACGCGGCCGGGGATCGAACCCCGCGACCTTCCGCTCTCCGGGCGGGAGCTCTAACCACTACACCATGCAGGCGGTCCTAGGTGGCAAGTGGTAATACAGAGAGGGAGTAGGGAATGAGATGGGTTTCTCACTACCACCTGTGCCCCACGAGTATTGAACTGAGAGAAATGCGTGTTATGTGACATGTCTGTGTTGCTACTCACTGATTGGCTTCCATCAGAGTTAGCTCCACCCCCTCCACATCACATGGCTGGTTCAGGGGAAGGGTGTGTTGTGTGACATGTCTGTGTTGCTACTCACTGATTGGCTTCCATCAGAGTTAGCTCCACCCCCTCCACATCACATGGCTGGTTCAGGGGAAGAGTGTGAATGTACCGTGGATCCACTTTGATCTTTGTCCGAACCAAGTTGCCGGTCACCTAGGACAACAAGAGGCAACTGTAATTGTGCAATTGTAATGTGAACACAACAGTCCACAAGAATTTACTTTGCACATGACACAGCAGCACCTGCATAAAAAAATCACAAAATATTAACTTGACACGAATAGTTCTCCTACATGTTTCTGTATCTGCCGAGAAAGGTAAGGCTAAAACAATCATCCCTAAAGATAAAACTGAAAAATCACATGTATCAGAACTATGTGCATTATGTATGTGTTATAGATAAAGAAATTCAAATGTCATGTCCCCATCCTCCCTTTGATAAGGTGAGTGAGTGAGATAGTGAGTTAGTGAGTGAGTTTAGTTTTAGGCCTCTTTTAGCAATATTCCAGCAATATCACGGCGGGGGACACCTGAAATGGGCTCTAGACATTGTACCCATGTGGGAATCGAACCCGGGTCTTTAGCGTGATGAGCGAATGCTTTAACCACTAGGCTACCCCACTGTCCTTCATTGACTAGTGGCAAGAGGTAGCCCTGAAACACATTATCCATAATGTGTGATATGATGAAGAGAAGAAATTGTTTGCTGACATGTCTGCAATAAGTGCAAGTGTTCATGCTCACACCTTGCTACAGTACAGATGTTGCTTGAAGTGCTTGGTGAGGCCCCCATAGTGGTCGTAGTGGAAGTGGGTCAGCAAGTACGCCTTGCAGCCTGGGATCACACCATGCCTGAAGGCATCCACCGTCAGCATAGTGCCTGAAACACAAGTCTAGTTTTAATGCAGCCTGGTCCAACATTCAGATATGAACACTGTGACCAACAAACCTGAATGGCATCCACCAAGAGTTTTATTAGCTTGTTTTGTTGTTCAGGTGAGAATTACTTTCAGTGAAACACATTCCAGCTCTATGTTTTAATGATAATTATTCAATATTTCTAAAAGCACTTTAACCTGCTTCCATCTCCTACATGGTCCAACATTCAGAAATATATGAACCAAGAATGTCAGGTGTCAGGTATACCCAAGGGAAGCAACTCTGCACAGTGAGTTGCAGCACAATAGACAATTAGGCCACAATCCAATAAAAGACATGGTCCATTAAAACCGACTGGACATGATAACTTATCTACTATCATTCATGGATGTTGGGGGCGGCGGGGTAGCCTAGTGGTTAAATCGTTTTCTCATCACTTCGAAAACCCGGGTTCGATTCACCAAATGGGTATAATGTGTGAAGCCCATTTATGGTGTCCCCCACTGTGATATTGCTGGAATATTGCTAAAAGCGGTGTAAAACCCACCTCAGTCACTCATGGATGTGGATACAGGGCCAGGGCTCCAGATAATTTTTCAAGTGTACATTTATAATGGACGCTTAATGCAGGGTAATGTGTTTCAAGCTTTCATATATCATCTTCATGTTAAAACAGGTTAAACTGGCAGATTCTCTTGATTCTAAGACCGCGGGGTGCAGCTTCTCCCTCCTCCTTTGCCAAAAGGCAGTCTTCTATGGAGCCCTCACCAGAAAATCTTCAGCACCAAGAGTCTTTGATCTTTTTAAATCAAACCTATTCGAAGGCTTTGAGTTACCAAGCAGAGGGGTTGAAGCAATTCTCTCCAAGCCATTCCTTAATTCTTGAATATCAGAGTTAGGATCAGCTTGACTGGTTTTTGTTGTTTCAACCTTGTTACATTTAATGCTTGGTCGACTAAAAAAATTAAATATTGATGTCTGTTTTCTTGCCAGAGAAGGCACTGGCTCTTTTCCTGAGGTCAAGCTTGGGCCTGTGGTCAGTTTGTCTTCAATTGTAACACTGTTAATGCTCAGCTTTTCATCATCATTTATTTTAATATTATCACATATTTCAATGCTTTCTCCGACCCTTGCGTCCCAGTCATCATAACTTGAACCATTGCAAGTTTCATTGTTGTCACTTTCATTCTGATCCTTGTCAATTTCAGATTGCTCCTTCTGATTACAATCAATTTCATCATTATCCTTGTTGATATCGCCTCCATCTTCCTCATCTTCTGATCCTGCCAACAACTCTGTTAACTCTTTCAACGACTCTTCATCACTGCCATGTGCCACGATGAATCCACCAGCTTCATCATCATCAGTCATGGTACTTAATGTAGCGCGCTTTTCTCAGGAACAGTGATGTTTTTCCTGGGTCGGTTCCCACAACTAGTTTCTCCAACCCCATGGTTGACATCCTCTGCCACCTCGTCACTCCCAAGACCATCAATTTCAGTGTAGGCTCGTGAGGTTGATGTTGATGTCACCTTCGACAAAGATGAGGTGGAGGCAGCACTCTTCTCGGAGGAGGTAGATTTGGGTGTGGCTTGCATATTGGATATGTGGAGTTTAACATCTTCACAGCTACTCAGTTCTTGCTTGAGATTGACAGGTGGAAACTCAGTACCTTGTGCATACAAGAAGATACAAATTACTCATATGTAAACAAATCCGGGTTTATCAAGTTAATAACTTTGACAAAAATATGGCAATAAAATAGTCGGAAATTTACTTCTGAGTCCATGATTTTTCCACAAGTTTAATGCACAGCAATAGGAACACATCAAAATTTGTAATTAAAAAAAAATTAGGTTTCATTTCCTTTACCAAGTTAACAGCTGTGATGTAGCACTGCAGCAATAATGATAAAACCAAACACAACAAAGTCATAAGGGGCTGATCATTCATTTTATCATCAGGTGGGTGTGTGCAAGATTCACCACTTGGGTACAATGTGTGTGGCCATTTCTGGTTTCCTCTGCGGTGAAATTGTTAGAATTTTGGAAAAAGCAACAAAAAAAACCCAACTCAGTCACTCATAATATGTCACTCACTCACTATTTCAATCGTTTTAGCTCAACTCATCAAATGTTCACTCTAACATGCCATCTATCTACTCTGGAAGTATACCTGCTGACTTCCTGTTGTGAGTTGTGTCCCTTGATTCTGCCAGCAGTATATGAGTGTACTTCCTGTAGTGAGACGGGAGGCGACTCAAGCAGCACACGCCATTTTTGCATTCTGTAACCATGGGAACAACATGAAAAACACTCACATTCATGTTGAGATGATGTCCACATTCAGGGTCTCCTAACAGGCACCATATTCATTCCTGACTTAACCAAATCGAAAATCTTCAATCATTAAAGTTATTTACAACTTTATTCAATTCTCATAGCCTTTGCTCATACAGTGAAAGCTGACTAAATGATTTTTATCTTTTCATTAATAGTCAGAATATAACTGATTATGCCGATATCCTTTTCTTGCCAGTGTAAGGCTGTCTGTATTTTTCTGTGTGTCCAATCTTCCATCTGCCCTGACATTTTCATTCTATCATTAAATATCAAAATGTTCTCTTATCTCAATTTTCACAGTGGAAATGTATTTATGTAAGAGAAATAAATAGTTTTACCCACTCTTAAAATAGTCAGCTTGACCTTTCTTCATCTATATCAACAAAAACTTTGCTTCCAAATCACATCCACTGGATCTACTACATAGATTAATTTGAAGACTATTACCAACTGATCTGAATACAAATGTAGTAATATTTCATAAAATAAGCCGAACAGTGGGTGAAAAACCTCATATGGACCTGTACGCTTGAAAGCCAGATTTCCTGAGCACTATCATGACTGCAAGAATAGTTCTGCTTCACTTGTCCTGAACCCATAAACTAACCCACAAACTATGTTATCAATCAAAACAAGATTTCCTGTTATCCGCACTGGCATTCAAGGTGGCCATGTCCATGTTCTGCTAAGATATTGAGAGTGTCACAGATAAACATTTTGATGGGGCGCTAATATAGGTTTCAAAATTTGACCATTTAAGTTGGTCAAATTTATCGCATTTTCCAATAAATGAATCACAATGGTGAGCATTCTTTTGATAATTTTAGTCATGCCGCCAGGGCCCATTGAAAATATTTCATCTGTGCCTTTTCAATATTCCCCATGTCATGGCACTCAAATGAAGCTCTATTTCGATCCCTGATGATACTTAAAAATATGAATAGCCTAAAATAGTACTGTTGCAACTTTATTACCTTTTTTCTGGTGTTAATTATATTATTTATATGTAATAACTTCATTTTTCAGTTTATTCACATACAACACCTACCTTCAGTATCAGACAAAAATGGTAAGTCCATGCATTCCATTGTATGAGCATTTGGAGATAAATGGAGCAGTGCAGAAAATGGAACTTGACAAAATGGACAGTATCCTCCAGAGCTTCGACTTGTCTTCTCGTCTGTCTTTGCCTGATCTTTTCTCTTTGTGGTTTTCTTTCCAACTTTCTTCACATCTGTTTTAGCCTTATTTTTGGTTTTACCTATTGTCGAACGTTTTGTTTTCACATTTGTAGTTTTTTGTGATAAGGGAGATTTTAAAGCTTGCAGTGTCTGGCTTGAATCACCTTCATCTACACCAAGCTGCATCTGTACTGCCATAGAAGATTTACTTAGGTGATCATTTGGTCCACTGGATGTCAAAAATGCCCGTTTCCGACTCTCTCTCATATTAGGGTCGTGGCCTTGTGAACTGACAATCAAACAGTCACTGTCATCGCTGTCACTATTATCTATTTGAGATTGTAGGCGCTGTGCAGCAACTTTTGATACAGTACGTTTGGGTCTCGAATCTGCTGAATCAGCATTGTTTTTCTTAGTTGGTGCCTTCTTTGAACGCTTCAACGACTTAAAATCCCACAAGTCATCTTCTTCCTTCATTTCCTTAGCGCTTTTACTTCGTTTCATTATGATGAAAGATTTGCGGTCTGGCGACTTTAATATCTGAAATCACGTCCATATTATCAAGAGACTGACATGGTCAGCACTTTCGTGCAGGTGTACATCCCAGTTCTGGTCGCTACATACGATTACCAAGTTTAGGGGCGGTTTAGTGGATTCCAATTTGATTATGACTAAAACATAGACTACTTAACATAGATCGTCGTTACAATCTTGACCTTAACTGTCGACAGTCCGTTTTAGTTATTTGCCACTATAACTTGCTTTCATAAATCGTTTGTTGAAGTTGCCTACATGTTACATAGGTTCTAATATTGTCCGCCACTCACGCGACATAAACTTCCTGTCTCAGACTCGAAGCACTATTTATCTATGAATACTATGAGGAGCTAAGTGGTTGGAGCTGATTTTTGTCGATGCAAGGAGCTTCCCTGGTATGTGTACAAATTGAGAAGCATTGTTGAAATGAAATATGATTGTTATTTAATAACATTTGACACTGACGTCTTCTTAGTATTTTCTGAGTGATGGATTTATTCAAAGCCGAGAGTTACGTTTGATAGAATATTAACTTCCACCCCTCTCAAATCCCATCTCAGTTCTAGCAACATTTCCGTTATCACCTCTGAGTATTTTGTGATGCTTCCATATTACTGCGAGTTTCTAATGTACTTAGATTTAATTAACCTTGTAGATAATCTATTTCAGAAACTACTGAGTATATTGTTGTCGTCTATATGTAATATTCCAATTCTTTTCGTGTGTATTTATATTGCACTGACCTGCAAGCCAAAGTTCAAACCAGTCATGCGTAAGTAGGGGACTAAAGCACCTCAGCCTACAGGCAATATTCGCATGCTTGGCAAATAACTTATCAGCTTACAAACACTGTTAATCTATATATGGGATAATTTCAACTTCACTACATAGCTTTTAATAATGTCATTTATATTTTTATGTGAGATAAACCTAAACTATAATCACATGCTCCACTGCTTGCGGGATGCGGGTTTATCGCATGGAGACGTCACGGAAGGGTTCCTTTTGCGGTGCAGAGCCTTCTGGCGACACAATCACGCTGTCACTTTCATAGCTTCTACAACAGCACCATTGCGGATAGTCCACACATGCATGTTCGTGGTGACATTTGTGAGGTAATGTAAAGAGGCATCTCTTCCATTTTTGTTTAAATATTTAACCGTCAGACGGAGAACACAACCACAAACTATTAACTCTTAACAGAGACCATATATCTATTATATGGTCTCTGCTCTAAAGTATAGTATATTAGTAAACAAAGTGCATTGTCCAGTGGTGGATGACTAAGTGGGTTAGATGCACATGTTCCTAAAATTCAAAATACGCCTTATACATTGGAAACTTCTGCACATCGGTAAACGGAATATATATAAAAACACGAAATTGAATTTATCGTTTTTTAAACCGCCCAGTTTTGTCGCGTTTCACAAAATGCCATAATGGATGTCCTCTGTGTTTGCATTTGGGATTTCAGTAGTTACACACACGCACACGCACAAACCTGCAGTTATCAATGATACGTCATTGATAACTGCAGGTTTGTGCGTGTGCGTGCGTGCCAACAAATTGCTTAGCAACAGATTAGTATTCTTGAATATATATTACTCAAACGTGAACTTCGCGAAGTTCCGATTCTTTCAAGAAATAATTTCATATGTGTGTGTACGTGTGTGTGTGTGTGTGCGCGCGCGAGTGTGTGTGGTTCCATTTTCGGAGCCGTATATACCAACATAGTCACTTATTCCCATTATAAAGGAGTGACTGGTCATGCCTGTTAGATAAGGGCACTGGCCATCACACTTTGCCCCCATGTAGAGAGACCCGTGAAGATCCGGGTAAGAATTGACCTTCAGTAACCATGCTTGTCGTATAAGAGGGAACTAACGGGATCGGGTGGTCAGGCTCGCTGACTTGGTTGACACGTGTCTCGCGGAAATCGATGCTTCAGCTGCTGATCACTAGATTGTCTGGTCCAGACACGATTATTTACAAACCGCCACCATATAGCTGGAATTGCTGAGTGCGGCATAAAACTAAACTCACTCACACACTCATCAATTTTTATGAACTCTTTTTGCGTAAAGTGCATGCACCGCGATTCGCTCTCCTGCGAATTTGCCAAGCCGTCTTGGTATCTTGCCATGATAGTAAGCACGTCTAACAGCACGACCATTAAGCCGCTAAGTACTGGGATATATACAGGCCACTGGGAAACAACTCTTTCGGAGAGTTCTTACGTAATGGATGCATTGTTTGTTAAAATCCAACTGACTTTGAACATTCATGTGTATATCTGGTTCATGGTAAAATGTCCCTTTCAAAGGGTCTCGCTGTAACTTTGACGCGGTTGAATTGGCAATAGACTGGCAAGTCTCTGAAAATATCCCTGAATTTTGTTGAAAGAAAATAACTCTATTTAAACTTGAATAGAGCCTCTGTGCATGAGACTGGAAGCAAATCTGGACTTGCTTCATTTAGGACGTTCGCATAATTGCATTCAGGGTAAAGGATAAGGTTCATGGACTGTAAGACAGACCAGATTGGTATACTGCATGGATCTCGGTTTGAAGGTACAACACAGTAATATCCCATAGCTCTTCAAGAAGCAGGATACACAACAAGACAGTTGATAAGTATACACACCTCGTGATCTATACACAGCGCGGGGTGTCATGGTAACCTCACTCGTAAATACATGGAAAGCGACCGGTCCAAGGAAAGGTACCGGTGTCGGCGATGGCTGACAAGGATACAGGTGAGTTGGTCATTCAGACAGTGTACTAACGATCATGCAAGAAAACATGCTCAAATGTACGCATGCAGTCATTGTATATTCAGTATCCTTATGAACGACGGTGAGGAGAGGTAAAAATAACTTGAGTTTTGTGAAGGCTGTTAACGGTGCAGCCGCCATTACAATGTTGTTTTATTGTTAGGAGCATTCGGTTAAACATACTACACAACCACGTGGAGTATACCATCTCCGTGCACAACGTGTAGTCTGTATATGAGAGAGGTATTGCTGTGTTAATGTACAGATTTTCCAAGGTGTCAGAGGGGAGAAATGCAGCACAGAAGCAACATGTCGATTCCTCAAGCAAGCTATGCTGTGTGGAGCACCGCAGTGTATAGCTGATCGGGGCCCTGCTTCAAAAAGCGATCTTAGGGCTACGACTGTCGTAACTCTATATGTTAAAGTATAGGAGATACGAATGCTACGAGAAAACTTACGAAATCATAGGCTTACGAGAGCTTTGTGAAACGATGCAGTTCATCAAAGCGACCGTACCGCTACGACAGTACGAGAAAAGTTACGAGATCATAGGCTTACGAGAGCTTTGTGAAACGAGGCCTTCGTAGCGCTACGACAGTCGTAAGTCTATGTTAAAGTATGGGAGTTACGATCATCTTAGCTCTATACGATCGCATTGAGGAACGGGGCCCTGGACTTCGTTTAATTACGATACCAAATCAATTTATCCTGGGTGTGAGTGAGTGAGTTTAGTTTTACGCCGCAATATTCCAGCTATATGGCCGCGGTCCGTATATAATCGAGTCTGGACCAGACAATCCAGTGAGCATTTAATCTTGGGCCCCGTTTGACAAAGCGATAGTGATTATCGAAAGAAAATTAATACAATATATGTGATCCATTGCTTGATTACGGTGTTAGGATCTACACCGAAACGTTGCATCTATTGTAACAAAGAAGCTGTCTATCCATGAAATAGTGTTCCTCTTCAGCGACAAAAAAGACGATTGGCCAGAAAACCTCAGCAAACTAATGACGTTGAGGAACGTCAGCATTCACGTCAACGACGACAAGTCCTATGGAAGACACAACCCTTCTCAGATTCACAAGACTTCCTTACTTCATGACTTGCCGCGTGTTAAAAACAGTGTGGCTTCCACATAATCTTTTGTCCAACAAAACAGTCCAAAATCGCCAATAGATATAGGTTGGGTATAACGCCAGACGACCTATCAGAGGTCCGTTGATATCCCCGGAGCACAAAGCAGCAAGGTTATAGCTTGGTGTCCAGCACGACGTAACTGGAAGTTTGAGGTCATGGGGAGGGTTCACTGCTCCGACGAAAGCCGATTTCTTTCGTTCATGTCTCATATGCATGTACACAACGGATTATCTTCCATTGATGGTGTGGACGTATCTCTCACCAACTTCACCTTGCGATGATCAAACAAAATCTGAATGGATAACGGTACATCACTAACATCCTAGACTGGGTTGTTGTATCACATTTCTTTGACCATCCTCTGAGCACAAGGCCATTCGTGGTGGACGACAATGCTAGGCCACGCCGTGTCGTTCCGTTGGTGATTTCTTACGTCAAGAAACGGCAGCAACTCCGGCATGCCCCCATGAGTTCAGATCTCAATCCCAAAGAGCATGTTTGGGCATTATGGGCCGCAGAAAACTCCTCCAGTACACAATTTGTATGTATTGGGACAATCCCTCCATCAAGAATGGAACGTAATACCTCAACGTCAGAATCAACGTCCGATAAGGAGGTTGGCCAGGGATGTTATTACAGTTGGCGGAGGTTACACCAGACATTGACATCGTGCTAGGTAATTGATACTTATGTGATTTCTTGAAGATTGTAGACCAGAATCTTGAACATGACCGCACTACAAATATGTCCATTTTTGCCATGTTTGCTTCTCTGAATAAATTACAGTTTTTCGTTCTTTTTGCGTTTAGATGTACCGTTTAATTATTAACCGAGTGTCCGTTTGTCCAGATAGTAAGTTAAACTGAGGTTTGTATAAGTTCCTTTTCTATAGTTAATGGCAACTTATAACTATGAAAGATATGGTGTGTTGCGATACTTTTGTTCATGTGTATATATCGCCGCCAAAACGACGGGGCATACAACAAGCAATCAACCGAGTCACACGACGTGCTTTATCAGCCGATACATATTGCCATCTCTTCATATCCGCAAGTAGGTCGCTGGGGACCCTAAAAGAAAATAAGTAAACAAGAGAAGCTTTTTAAAAGACAATGTTAGACGCACCCGAGTTAATTAAGAAATTTAGTGAGAAAGACTTGAGATGATTTGGGAGTGAATCTGATTTCAAGAGCATCACGATGACCATACCTCCGTCTATTAGAGACCTGCTTCTATTACAAGAGCTCGGTATACTCGCATCGCAAATACGGTACACTCGATCATCTCCACTGTATGACATTTCATATCAAAGGTCTTTGTCATGTCTAATCAAATCTGGAAGTGAAGTACTGGTGACAGGAGGAAAGATGGTCGTGTATATTGCTTCTAATCTATTTTATGGCGGATGGTAATGAGTCATCAAAAGATGACACATCCCTCCGGCCCCGCTTACTTGCAAAAGTCATGTGAATGCTATCTCTTCAAAGAAATTCACCCATCTCCGCACTCGCTGGTACTGTTAATGAACACGCCTCTCGAACCGATTCTAGGAAACCAGTCGTCCTTTCGCTAAATTCTAGGGAAACCTTTTGGGCGCTACTAAAATACAAAGAGACTATAGTATCTAAAGTTCATTTGGCTGAAAGTTCATTTTGAATAATCCAGGTGTATAAAGTAGAGAGAAATTTCACCTGAGAGACAAACGCCTCCAACCAATAATAATTACATTTATATGGCGCTGAACTCCACATCGCATAGGGCATGCTCTAAGCGCAAACATGAAATGGATGAACAATTGTCAGTGATTATTAAACAGATGGGCCAGATATTAAAGTACTCAAGGAAGGGGCACATCTAAGGTGAAGGGGAAGAGCGTTCCATAACAGAACGGCCGAGTGTTTGAAGGATCTGGCACCAAATGTCTTTAACGGGCAGGGAGGCACAGAAAGCTCGAATTTGTCAGATGAACGAAAATTTCTGGAAGGTTGATACACTGCAGTAAGAGTTGGGAGATATGAAGGAGAGATTTTGAAGACTGATTGGCAGGCAAGACATGAGACTTTGTCCTCGTTCCTGGACTTGCAGCCAATAAAGAGATTTGATTACATGTTTGATGTGTTCTTTAGGCTTAATCTTAGTCACTAGCCTTTACTCGTACTCTTTGCAGGCTGTGAAGCTGATCCTTAGAAATGCCATATAGAGGAGGTTGTTGCAGTAGTCCAGGCGGGAGAGAATAAGTGATCGCATGAGTGTTGCACTGGCATATTTAGTGAGAAAATGCAGAATAGAACCAATGTTCCTGAAGGGATGCAACCCGTCGAATGTAAGATCGGATTTGAATAAGAATTACGGGGACCTATGCTAACCCGGAGTCTAATCGGTATTTGATCCGTGAAGATCCAGGTTAGAATTGATCTTCAGTAACCCATGCTTGTCGTAGAAGGCGACTAACGGGATCGGGTGGGCAGGCTCGCTGGCTTGGTTGACACATGTCATTGGTCCCCAATTGCGCAGATCGATGCTCATGCTGCTGATCACTGGATTGTCTGGTCCAGACTCGATTATTTGCAGACCGCCGCCATTTAGCTTGAATATTGCAGAGTGCGGCATACAGTTAAACTCACTCACTCACTCTAATCGGTATGTGATATTAGAGACGAGTGGCCGAATTAAGAATGAGACGAGAGGCCGAATTAATAATGTGCTACAGTGAAGTGTTATCAGAGTGAATTAAAAAAAGTAACAATAATCTCTTTCATCTTATATCTCAAAAGACATGTACCTGTGAACATACTTGTGTCATGCATGATATCATATACACTCGTCTACAGCTCAGGGCAATTCTATACGACTTAAATCAGCAGCGTCTATTCATATATACTGATCAAAGTTTTACATTACCCACGGCAAGATACAGGCACATGATATGTGCCACGTGACCCGGATCAGCGATCATCTGGGACCAGGCGACTGATAGCCTTGCTCCAAGGCTGTACTGAATGCTAAGCCAAAGGATGTATAGTAATTATCCTTTAAGTCAGTCGCGGTGGCTGAGTGGGTTAGGCGGCTGACTTAGTGTGCTGGCAATTAGGTGCCTGACCTTGAGGGTGTGGGTTCGAATCCCAGGTGGGAGTCAACCCAACAAAATTACTAGAATCTGTACTGAGAAAGTGTAATCCCAAACATAACATGTGTTACAAGTCTATATTAGCGGACAGTCTAAGGGCGCCAGTCTGTTAGAGGAATATCTATATTTTTTAGAAATTACCATTCAAGCTATTAATTATTACCTTAACTATTTATGCAAGTCTAGGCGACCGACTGCACTTGATACTCACAAAGCCTGTCTGCCAGATCCTAGATATTGCATTAAATAGGAGTCCAACTCACGTCTAGACTGACTGTGCAAGTGAAGGTGTCTGTCTGAAATTTGGATTCATTTGGATTTTTATATTTTGTAGATATGTATTTGATAATATTTCGGGACCCAATATTCTACTATTAAAATCATAAATGAAGCCTTCAAAGACAGGATTGTCGACCTGATGTTTTAGATAAATACTTTAAATACTTTCTAACAAGGATTGTGGATGCCGTTTAAAATTCATAAAAGCCCATTGAATATTGACGTGTAAGCATAGAAGAGGATATAGGCGGTGCACAATTGTTGTCCTGTGAGACGGAACGAGACAATGTACAGGTCCTTATTTTATGTCTGTCACGAAGTCCATGGTTCAGTGGATTGCAAACTGTTTGCTATGCAAGTGTTTAGCTTTAGTATTTAATACTATGTATATTTTCATGAATGTTTCATATGCAAGGTCAGACATTATTTCGAAAA